AGTCTATGAATTTAATTAACACTATGAAGGCTTACTGAATTTAGCTCTCAGTAGAACACAATGTAGAAAAAGGGAATGCAGTATCGATGAAGCTGGGTGGTAGATCATTTAATTTTTCAAGAAGCATAACAAAAAAATATTGGAGTGAAATCTAGCACTTGTATTATAAAAAATTCTTGTTCTTGCAATAGTTATTGCTTCCCTTAAGTATTTCATCTTCATTTCTGATACAGTGGACCCCCGCATAACGATGGCATCACATAGCGATTTTTCCGCATACCGCTTACTTTTATCGCAAAATTTTTGCCGCGCATACCGATTAAAAACCCGCTCACCGATTTTCGTCCGAGACGCGTCCAATGTGCCCTCACATGTGCCGCCCGTCCCATTGTTTACCAGCCAGCCTCCGCGGTAACATCCAAGCATACACTCGGAATATTTCGTATTATTACAGTGTTTTCGGTGCTGTTTCTGGAAAATAAGTGACCATGGGCCCCAAGAAAGCTTCTAGTGCCAACCCTGTGGTAAAAAGGGTGAGAATTAGTATGGAAATTAAGAAAGATTTTGAAGGGTTTGGGGCTAACCCTGAGAAGCCTATGCCAGTTGTGGAATCCATTGTGCCTACTTCAAAGATTAAGGAAATGTGTGCACAGTGGTTGAACTGCAAACCTTTATAGATGAAAATCACCCTGACACAGCTGTTGCAAGCCGTGCTGTGACTATTTCAATGACAATGTTGTGGCCCATTTTAGACAAAATCGTAAAGGAACGGGAGGTACAGAGCTCTATGGACAGATTTGTTGTGCGACAGAGGTCCAGTGACTCTCAAGCTGGTCCTAGTGGCATTAAAAGAAGAAGGGAAGTAACCCCGAAAAGGACTTGCTACTCAAGTCGTAATGGAAGGGGATTCCCCTTCTAAACAGTAAGAAGATAATGCCTCTCCCCTCCTCCCATCCATCAATCATCACCAGATCTTCAATAAAAGTAAGTGTCATGTAATTGTGCATGCCTTTTTCAGTTTGTGTGTATTAAAATTAACATTTCATGTGGTAAAAAAAAAATTTTTTCATACTTTTGGGCGTCTTGCACGGATTAATTTTATTTCCATTATTTCTTATGGGGAAAATTCATTCGCATAACGATTATTTCGCATAACAATTATCCCTCTTGCACGGATTAAAATCGTTAACCGGGGGTCCACTGTACTGCTTAATATAAATTAGATCAAACGTGAGAATCATGGGGGAAAGGACGTTGATGACACTAAATTTGCAGTGAAGTACTGGATTGTCATAAAAGTTTTCATGTTGCTTCATAATCCTATAATTGTCCGGGAAAATACTATATTGCTTTTCTTATGTAAGGAGCAGAGATTACAACTTATAGCAAGATACCTGAGAGAACCCCTATAAACAGTGAAAGGGGAATGGACAGACTAAAACAGTGATTATTGAACATTATTGTCTAGGATATGCTACTACTGACTTGTTCAAAAATATAGAAGTAAATGTTGTGTGTTCACATACATTACTCTTCAGCTACTGACTTAAATAGCATGCAAGATTTAATTTTAAAAATATTTCCAATCATTGTTAGACTTGTTTGCAGAGGTTGAGTCTCTGCTCCTGGTTCTGACTTTTAAACAAAACTGACTTGCATTACTGACCTCTGTCTTCCTAGGTCTAGACACTTTCTATAGAGTTTGCCACTGCCAGTACCTCATATAATGTAATGCACTTACTTTCTATCATATGGATGAAGTAATATATTTCTTAATGTTTCATCTGTGTTGTTTCTTTCCTAGTCCTCTTCTCTTTCAAGGTCTTCAGACTCAGCTCCTTTAGTCTTGTGCACTCTCCTTGCTTTTGGGATTATTCTGATTGTAAACTGCTTGCCATTTTCAAGCTTCTAGACATGTCAGTTTCCTGTTCTATGATTGATTTGATGTATATCTTGTATAATGTCTTAAGAAATTCTGTGAACATCTATCTTGATGTTCACCAGCTTCACATATGTTGCACAAGTTAGGTAGATGTGCACTGCTTATGCTATGTTTGGTGTAATGTTCATTCCCAGGTCCTCCTGTTTTATAGCTTTTTTAAGGTCTCCTCCTGGACTTCTCTGGTATCTTGTTTTTTCTTATGCTTATTTGGATTGAACTCGGGTAGCTACTTGGTTGATCAATCTTGCCATTTGTCCAAGTCTACCTGGAGTCCTATTCCCATTGGTAGCTTATTGTTACTACAGTAACCTTTGATTAAACATAAGTATCACTTTATTAGCTATAGCAAATAATTTATGTAGATCAGAAGTGGTGGTGCTCTTGGTGCTGATTCTTGAATACTCCATTTGTTACCCTTATCCATTTTCAGTTGTCTTTATGTCCAGAGCTGCTGTATCCTTCAAGGGAAATGAAGTCCCTGATTCTAGTGAGGAGTCACAAGATCTGACTTGATCAAACTTGATTTCCTCCCATTCCTTTGGTGCTGCATGATCGCTTGTGGGTTTTTCCGCTTTCCTATGAATATAATAATAATCTGGAGCTGCTCAAGGATCAGTTTTTTCAGTTCTTAAAAATTCATAGTAAAACTGCAATGTCACGTTAAAAGTTGTGTTAACTAAATTAATGAAAAGATCAAGCCTCTTTGATCTTTGAAAGGAAGGGAGTATGGAAGAATTGAATGTTGTCAGATATATGGGAGTTGACTTGTCAGCGGATGTGTTTATGAAGGATGAGATTAACCATAGAATTGATGAAGGAAAATAAGGTGAGTGGTGCGTCGAAGTATCTGTGGAAGGGAATGTACGAAAGTATAGTGGTACCAACACACTTATATGGGTGTGAAGCTTGGGTTGTAAATGCTGCAGCAAGGAGGCAGCTGGAGGCAGTGGAGATGTCCTGTCTAAGGGCAATGTGTGATGTAAATATTTGCAGAGAATTCGTAGTGTGGAAATTAGGAGGTGTGGAATTACTAAAAGTATTAGTCAGAGGGCTGAAGAGGGGTTGTTGAGATGGTTTGGTTATTTAGAGAGAATGGAACAAAGAATGACTTGGAGAACATATAAATCTGTAGGGGAAGGAAGGAAGGCGGGGTAGGAGTCATCCTCAAAAAGGTTGGAGGGAGAGGGTAAAGGTGGCTTTGTGGGCAAGGGGTTTGGATTTCCAGCAAGCATGCATGAATGTGTTAGATAGGAATGAATGGAGACGAATGGTTTTTGGGACTTGACGAGCTGTTAGAGTGTGAGCAGGGTAATATTTTGTGAAAGGATTCAGGGAAACAAGTTAGCTAGACTTGAGTCCTGGAAATGGGAAGTACAATGCCTGCACTTTAATGGAAGGGTTTGGGATATTGGCAGTTTGGAGTGACTATCTAAACTGTCGTATCTGGGCGCCTCTGCAAAGACAATGATTATGTATGAGTGATGGTGAAAGTGTTGACTGATAATGAAAGTTTTTTCTTTTTGGGTTTTTCTTTCTTTTGGGCCACCATGCCTTGGTGGAAGATGGTCAACGTGTTAAAAAAGATTCTCATTCTCTAAGAAAAGCTTGTGCATGTAAGTAATGGTGGAGGGCATAGCTTCTGCCAACAATTTTTTCATTTTAGAGGGTGCTTTGATACTCTCTTTAAATGGAACTTGTGAATTTTTGTCATGTACTGTATATTGTACATAAACAATGCTGCATACTGTGTATACTGTATATATTTTGAGATTAACTTTGTAATCTGGGCAAAAGTTCTTTTATTTTTCTTGAGACAAAATTGACATTTCTCAAATCCAGCTGCCCAACCCCATTAATTGGAAATTTGATTATTCACCACCCTTCTTCTCTCACCCCTTCAGTCAGATACTTGAACAATATTATATCTGAATTGTTGATTAATGACGTATGTTGTGGTGATGACGCTTGCACATTAGAAACAGTGTAGATGTTAAGAGCTGTAAAAAATTTCTTATTTAAGAGAGAAGACATTCAGAATGTGGTCTTTTGTTGGTGAAGTAGAACCTTTAATGTAGACATAACCTCTGTAGATACAAAATTACATTTTTTAAGGGAGATCATATTTTTGTTTGGAAAATGGCTTTGTAGGAGATAGTGTTTTTGAAGGGAAGATTGAGCTTACAGTGTGGATAAAACTTAATTAGGAGAACGAGAAACCTTTTAAATAGGGATAGTACTAAAAGTCTTCAGGACTGTGATTAGGAGGGTCATTTGAATAATATCAGTGCACCAGCATGCTTCCTTACCTTGGTGGCAAAGAAACAAGAGCATTTTTAACAGGGTGGATCAGAAATAACATTTTTAACTGTCTTAGGCCACTAATAAGGACAAAGGTTCCTACTCTTGGTGAATATAGCTCTGCAGTAATTATCACTAACATAGTAAGACAGGTAGGCATACATCCGTCTTTGGATGGAAATCTCAATATAATGGCATTATCAGAGAGGGTATCTGGTAATACTGTTTGTCCATTAAATCTGAATATCAAGACTGTTTTGTTGTGGTCATAACAAAAACACACTTCTGGAAACAATGGATTTTGTTGTTTCTAAAAACTGTTTCCCATTGGATTGTAACAGTAACTTACAGTTCTGGAAACAACAGACTTTGTTTAATCCAAAAGCCGTTAAACTGAAGTCTTTTAAATAGAGGTTTAAATGTGTATATGTGAGCAGCTTTGCTTTTACAGTAAAATGACACGAATGTTGCTATACAGCACTCGAAGAACTACTGCAAATTAAATTTTAATCTTGAAACGTTGGACAAATAGTTTTGCTAGAACATTATGGTAACCCATACAGCCATTATATTGATTTATTAAATATAATGCTGATGGAGTGTGATAGTATTAATAGAGATAGTATTTATGTATGTGGTAAGGTGACAGGGAAACCTTTTGTAATCATTCTTTATCAGACCAACTTTAAAGGATACGTAGTTTGTCTTTTTCTTTACTTATATTCTAATATTTTAAGTTAATGTACATTTCAATTTACAGATATACAAATCGTGTAGTTACACTCTGGTACCGACCACCAGAGCTTCTCCTAGGAGAAAGAAACTATGGACCTCCAGTTGACATGTGGGGTGCTGGCTGCATAATGGCTGAAATGTGGACTCGCACACCAATACTACAGGTAAGGATACCATGTGTATTTGCCAAAGTGTTATTGATGTATATTCCCATAAGAGAAAAACTTGTGATCTTGCTGGTTATTTTGCTTTTACGTACTTCCCATTTATTAATTTTAATGAAAATACATAAGCAAATTGACTTCATATTTGATGTATCTTGATAGCCATCATACCTAGTGGGCTTGACAGGGACATTACACCTGCAGTCAATAAGAAGCCTTTTATATAATTAATTAATCCTTTCACTGTTGGTGCCATAGTACTACGGCTTACGAGCCAGTGTTGGTGTCGTAGTACTACACCAAAATTCTAGCAGCTTCAAACCTAGCAGGAGAAAGCTGGTTGGCCTACATCTGAGAGAATGGGTTTGCATGGTCAGTGTGTGCAGTATTACAAAATCAGGCAGCCAGTGGTGCATATTGGACTGCCATTTCAGTAGTCCTTGTTCAGCATGCCTAGCAGTAAGAAATATCTGAATCCTCAGCGAATTTGGGACTCTTCTCTTCCCAAGTGATAGTTCTAATGCAGATGGAAATGCCAGTGAATTTGAATTTCATGGTTTTGAGGAGTTTGCGACTGAAAGCAATGCCTAGGATGCCAGATACAGATAGTGAAAAGGGAAGGCAGCTTGGGTGGTGGGGAAGGCAGCTTGGGTGTTGGGGAAGGCAGCTTGGATGGTGGAGAAGAGAGCGTGGATGGTGGGAAAGATGGTGTGAGTGGTTGGGAAGATGGTGTGTAAATAAGTTTATTCAGTTGTACACAAATACAATTACATAGATTATCATACATTGCAACTTGTGTAGAGAACCTAGGATAACACAAAAAAGTCAAAGTGATGTATTTCCAGCATGGGTGGTGGGGAAGACAGTGTAAGTAGTAGAGAACACGGTGTGGGTGGGGAAGGCAGTGTGGGTTTGTGTAAACAAAGTTTTGTAAACAATATAATGATAACACCTAGGTAGTAGGTTGGTAGACAGCAACCGCCCAGGGAGGTACTACCGTCCTGCCAAGTGAGTGTAAAACGGAAGCCTGTAATTGTTGTACACGATGGTAGGATTGCTGGTGTCTTTTTTTTCTGTCTCATACACATGCAAGATTTCAGGTACGTCTTGCTACTTCTACTTACACTTAGGTCACACTACACATACATGTACAAGCATATATATACACACTTCTCTGGGTTTTCTTCTATTTTCTTTCTAGTTCTTGTTCTTGTTTATTTCTGCTTACCTCCATGGGGAAGTGGAACAGAATTCTTCCTCCGTAAGCCATGTGTGTTGTAAGATGCGACTAAAATGCCGGGAGCAAGGGGCTAGTAACCCCTTCTCCTGTATATATTACTAAATGTAAAAGGAGAATCTTTCGTTTTTCCTTTTGGGCCACCCCGCCTCGGTGGGATACGGCCAGTGTGTTGAAAGAAAGAATAATGATAACAATGTTTGTACAGTTATTGTGTTGCATACAACAAGTGGATATATATACATTATGCATAATATTGGTCTCACAGGCCACAAAAGTTACTTGAAAAAAATAAAATATTAGAAAAAAAGAAAAACATAGAATAAGAGTAAAATTAATTTTACTGAGTGAGAGGCAATCGCCGATGTTGCCATAAGCAGTTCACTTTCTGTCAACTTCATGCCTCTATATCTTGGTAAGTACTATCACAATTTTTTTTTTTTAACAATCAGAAAAATATTCTTAAGATTGTAGTAAGAAAAATTTTTTTTTTTTGAATATTTTTCACCACTGAGAGCAGGTTTGTGATCAGAGATCTTGACAGTGAAAGGGTTAAGCATGGAAAAGCCTCATTATGGCTGCTCTTGGAACATACTTTTGTCTCATGAATGGGAGAGGGAAAAACTAGGTACACCTCAGAAATATTATTGTTCAGTGAACTAGTTTGGATAAAGGGTTGCCTTTTCCTGCTTCTCTATAAAGTCTTTACAGAAGGATTTTATTTTAAAAACACTGTTAGTATGTTTTAACCAATTTTGTATATACAGTATACTGTAAAATTTCTGACCTTGAAAAGTATTATTATATATTTCATGGGGAAGTGATAAATGTTCAGGGGTGATACAGTGACTGGGAAATGGAAGGTTAACAGGATTGATCCAGTGAAGGGAAAGGTATCTTTAATTTCTTGAATCATGAGCCCTTCACCAGTATCATGGTGCCTCTACCTTAAGTCTTTCAGAGAGAAATACTTAATAAATTAAGATTTAGGTATATGAATCATAATTATTTGAGACTGTGTTAAAAAAAAAATACTGTAAATGTTTGACAATGAAAGTCTCTTTGACAGTGACAGTCTGTTGTCATCTCGAAGATCCACATCACCATGTTACCTAGTATGTCATTTCACACCTTATCCTAACTAGTATGAAATTTCTTTGGCTTCATTTTTTGATGAAACTTGTGGAACATATCACAGGCATATGTGTTTCTATTTCTGGAGACTATTCATCATTAGTAAGCTTTATAAGTAAGTTTACCTTAATGTTTTCCTGTGTCTGAAAAGAATAAAAGTCACAATGCTGCAGTTAAACTAATTCACATCTATCACACAAAATTGGAGATAAATACTATATGAAGTCTTTCATCTCCAGTGTCACTTACTTGCAAAATCTTTATAAATATTTTACTCACATATAGTATTCTATGGATATCTTTTCTGGGCTTTTTTTTTTTTTTTTAATTTCCAGCTCTAATGTGGATAATTTATTCTGATTTTTTTTTTTTGTCAACAGGGGAGTACAGAACAGCATCAGTTGGCTCTCATCACTAAACTTTGTGGCTCCATTACACCAGATGTTTGGCCATCAGTAGAAAATTATGAACTGTTCAACAAGATGGATTTAGTGAAGGGGCAGCAACGGCGTGTGTGTGAAAGACTGAAGCATTACGTCAGAGATAGTCAGGTAAATGGCTTTGATTTGATCGATTAATCAATGATAGTGTTGAATTAATTGAAATATTGCGCTGCAATTTATTTATCAGGAGATACAAGTATTTCTTTTAAGGATGTAGTTTTGTAAGCGTTAATTAAGGATTAATATCTTGTGTTACTTTTTTTATTAATATTGTTTTATTTTTTTCAATTTTTTCTCATTCTTAAATAATAAAAAATATTAAATTAACTCATAGTAAAGTACTATTTTTGGGTGTTAAAATGAAATATTGTGTTGGGGTGTTAATCTTAAATGACTGCTTTAGTAGCCAAATTTCTTAACATAATTTTTAGGGCTTTCACAACAATACACTCCTTTAGTATTGTGCAATTTCATCTTGTCTGCCATCCACTCTTTCCTTATAATTATAATTCCATGCACTAATAATTATTGCTGTATTTGGTTAGGTTTTGGCAATAATTCTCTTGAATTATTATCATGTCAGGAATGTTAAAAGCAGGTGTGGATATAGTTTTGTAGTGGTTGGTACTTTTGTTCAGTAAATGTAGGAAAGAGAGGAAGGTACCTGAGGACTGGCAGTGTGTGTGCATAGTTCCTTTATATAAAGGGAAGGGGGAAAAAAGAGAGTGAAATAAATAAGCCTACTGAATATACCAGGTAAAGTGTATGGTAAGGTTATTATTAAAAGAAACAGAGGTAAGACAGAGAGCAGGATTGCAGATAAACAAGGAGGCTTTAGAATGGGTAGGGGATGTGTAGACCAAGTGTTTACATTGAAGAATATAAATGAACAATATTTAGCTAAATGTAGGGAAGTTTTCATTGCATTGATCTCAAAACGTAGATCTACTTGAGTGACACTGGCATCAGTGACGTGGATCTATTTGAGAGACAGTGAAAGGATAAATAATTCTGTACTCTAATACATACAGTACACTGTACAGTACATACAGACACACAGTACACTGTATTGTATGTGTCTTATGTATAAATTTTGAGAAGATTAAACTAATACCTCATTAATTATTACAAGTACCATCCGACTTATGACCGAGCATGGTTCCGACTAACTGGTTGTAAGTCAAAATGGACGTAAGTCGAATCTTCGAAAATTGCCGACATACTGGGTAGGGCATAATATCAAACCTTTGCTATATAAACTACCTACATAGTACTGTAATGTAATGTACATTCATTATTTCATTCTTTTTACCATAATGTACTCTTGATATTTTAATCATTTATGTTTTTTTTTTTTTTTTTTTTTCCAACAAACTGGCCGTATCCCACCAAGGCATGGTGGCCCAAAAAGAAAAACGAAAGTTTCTCTTTTTAAATTTGGTAATTTATACGGGAGAAGGGGTTACTGGCTCCTTGCTCCTGGCATTTGAGTCGTCTCTTACAACACGCATGGCTTACAGAGGAAGAATTCTGTTCCACTTCCCCATGGAGATAAGAGGAAATAAACAAGAACAAGAATTAGAAAGAAAATAGAAGAAAACCCAGAGGGATGTGTATATATTGGCAGTTTGGAGGGATATGTTGTGTATCTTTATACGTATATGCTTCTAAACTGTTGTATTCTGAGCACCTCTGCAAAAACAGTGATAATGTGTGAGTGTGGTGAAAGTGTTGAATGATGATGAAAGTATTTTCTTTTTGGGGATTTTCTTTCTTTTTTGGGTCACCCTGCCTCGGTGGGAGACGGCCGACTTGTTGAAAAAAAAAAAAAAAAAAAACATGTATGTGTAGTGTGACCTAAGTATAAGTAGAAGTAGCAAGACATACCTGAAATCTTGCATGTTTATGAGACAGAAAAAAGGACACCAGCAATTCTACCATCATGTAAAACAATTACAGGCTTTGGTTTTACACTCACTTGGCAGGACAGTAGTACCACCCTGGGCGGTTGCTGTCTACCAACCTACTACCTAGGAATCATTTATGTACTGTATATTATGTATACATGTACAGTGGACCCCCGCATAACGCTATTAATCCGGTCCTGAGAGCTCAATGTTATGCGAAATTATCGTTATGCGAATTAATTTTCCTCATAAGAAATAATGGAAATCAAATTAATCCGTGCAAGACACCCAAAAGTATGAAAAAAAAAAAAAATTTACCACATGAAATATTAATTTTAATATTCACAAACTTAAGAAAACATACACAGTTACATGACACTTACCTTTATTGAAGATATGGTGATGATTGATGGGATGGGAGGAGGGGAGACTGGATGGTTTTAGTGTTTAGATGTGTAGATCAAGTGTTTACATTGAAGCATATATGTGAACAGTATTTAGATAAAGGTAGGGAAGTTTTTATTGCATTTATGGATTTAGAAAAGGCAGTTTGGAGGGATATGTTGTGTATCTCTATACGTATGTGCTTCTGAGCTGTTGTGTTCTGAGCACCTCTGCAAAAGCAGTGATGGTGTGTGAGTGTGGTGAAAGTGTTGAAGGATGATGAAAGTATTTTCTTTTTGGGGATTTTCTTTCTTTTTTTTGGGTCACCCTGCCTCGGTGGGAGACGGCCGACTTGTTGAAAAAAAAAAAAAAAAAAATATGATAGAGTGGATAGAGGAGCAATGTGGCAGATGTTGCAAGTATATGGAATAGGTGGTAAGCTACTAAATGCTGTAAAGAGCTTTTATGAGGATAGTGAGGCTCAGGTTAGGGTATGTAGAAGAGAGGGAGAATACTTCCCGGTAAAAGTAGGTCTTAGACAGGGATGTGTAATGTCACCATGGTTGTTTAATATATTTATAGATGGGGTTGTAAAAGAAGTAAATGCTAGGGTGTTCGGGAGAGGGGTGGGATTAAATTATGGGGAATCAAATTCAAAATGGGAATTGACACAGTTACTTTTTGCTGATGATACTGTGCTTATGGGAGATTCTAAAGAAAAATTGGAAAGGTTAGTGGATGAGTTTGAGAATGTGTGTAAAGGTAGAAAGTTGAAAGTGAACATAGAAAAGAGTAAGGTGATGAGGGTATCAAATGATTTAGATAAAGAAAAATTGGATATCAAATTGGGGAGGAGGAGTATGGAAGAAGTGAATGTTTTCAGATACTTGGGAGTTGAAGTGTCAGCGGATGGATTTATGAAGGATGAGGTTAATCATAGAATTGATGAGGTAAAAAAGGTGAGTGGTGCGTTGAGGTATATGTGGAGTCAAAAAACGTTATCTATGGAGGCAAAGAAGGGAATGTATGAAAGTATAGTAGTACCAACACTCTTATATGGATGTGAAGCTTGGGTGGTAAATGCAGCAGCGAGGAGATGGTTGGAGGCAGTGGAGATGTCCTGTCTAAGGGCAATGTGTAGTGTAAATATTATGCAGAAAATTCGGAGTGTGGAAATTAGGAGAAGGTGTGGAGTTAATAAAAGCATTAGTCAGAGGGCAGAAGAGGGGTTGTTGAGGTGGTTTGGTCATTTAGAGAGAATGGATCAAAGTAGAATGACATGGAAAGCATATAAATCTATAGGGGAAGGAAAGAGGGGTAGGGGTCGTCCTCGAAAGGGTTGGAAAGAGGGGGTAAAGGAGGTTTTGTGGGTGAGGGGCTTGGACTTCCAGCAAGCGTGCATGAGCGTGTTAGATAGGAGTGAATGGAGACAAATGATACTTGGGACCTGACGATCTGTTGGAGTGTGAGCAGGGTAATATTTAGTGAAGGGATTCAGGGAAACCGGTTATTTTCATATAGTCGGACTTGAGTCCTGGAAATGGGAAGTACAATGCCTGCACTCTAAAGGAGGGGTTTGGGATATTGGCAGTTTGGAGGGATATGTTGTGTATCTTTATACGTATATGCTTCTAAGCTGTTGTATTCTGAGCACCTCTGCAAAAGCAGTGATAATGTGTGAGTGTGGTGAAAGTGTTGAATGATGATGAAAGTATTCTCTTTTTGGGGATTTTCTTTCTTTTTTTGGGTCACCCTGCCTCGGTGGGAGACGACCGACTTGTTGAAGAAAAAAAAAGGGGGGGGGGGAATCCCCTTTCATTAGGACTTGAGGTGTCAAGTCCTTTTCCGGGGTTGCTTCCCTTCTTCTTTTAATGCCACTAGGACCAGCTTCAGAGTCACTGGACTTCTGTCGCACAACATATCTGTCCATAGTGGCCTGTACCTCTCGTTCCTTTATGACTTTCCTAAAGTGTTTCACAACAGTGTCAGTGTAATAGTCACCAGCACAGCTTGCAATAGCTGTCTGAGGGTGATTTTCACCCATGAAGGTTTGCACTTCAAGCCACTTTGCACAGATTTCCTTAATCTTTGAAGTAGGCAACTTCTTCAATTTCTCTCTCCCCTCCTCCGAAGCAATTTCCTCAGGTGTGGCCTCTTGCTGTTGAAGTTGATCTAGCAGCTCATCAGTGGTTAGTTCTTCATTGTCCTCCTCCACCAACTCTTCCACATCCTCCCCACTAACCTCCAACCCCAAGGACTTCACCCAATGCCACAATTGATTCCTCAACTGGCATAGGATTCTCAGGGTTAGCCTCAAATCCTTCAAAACCCCTTTGGTCTACGCAGAGTTCAAGGTTCTCTTAGTCACTCCCTCCCAAGCCTTACCTATAAGGTTTACACAATTGAGGATATTAAAGTGCTCTCTCCAAAACTCTCTAAGAGTCAATTGAGTTTCTGAGGTCACTACAAAGCACCTTTCAAACAGAGCTTTTGTGTACAGTTTTTTGAAGTTTGCAGTAACCTGCTGGTCCATGGGCTGCAGGAGAGGAGTGGTATTAGGAGGCAAAAACTTCACCTTAATGAAGCTCATGTCCCCACAAAGTCGGTCTGCCAAGTCTGTACGATGACCAGGGGCATTGTCTAATATCAGGAGGCACTTAAGGTCTAATTTCTTTTCAGTTAGGTAATTTTTCACAGTGGGGGCAAATGCTTGGTGTAACCAGTCATAGAAAAAGTCCCTAGTGACCCATGCCTTATTGTTTGCCCTCCACAGCACACACAAATTAGCCTTGAGGATATTCTTTTGCCTTAATGCTC